TCTTCTTCTTCTTCTTCTTCTTCTTCTTCTTCTTCTTCTTCTTCTTCTTCTTCTTCTTCTTCTTCTCCTCCTCCTCCTCCTCCTCCTCCTCCTCCTCCTCCTCCTCCTCCTTCTCCTTCTCCTTCTTCCTACTCCTACTCTCCTTTCCCTTCCTCCTCCCTCTCCATCTTTCTCTCCCTCTCCCTCGTCCTCCTCCTCCTCTCCCTCCTTCCCCCCTCCTCCTCCTCCTCTTCCTCTTCCTCTTCCTCTTCCTCTTCTTCTTCTTCTCCTTCTCCTTCTTCTTCTTCTTCTTCTTCCCCCATAATCCCTTGTGGGGTGAAGTCTGGGCAACTGAATGGAGCTGACTGTTTACAGGCTGGATGCCCTTCCTGTCACCGATGTGGAGGTTTTTTCCCCCAGTATATATATTCTCAGTGTGCCCAGAGAAAGAAATATCTGCCTCTACCTAGGATCAAATTCCCAGCCTCCTGATTTTGAGAGTAAATCCCACTGCATGGCACGTCCCAAATAATTGTCTCGTATTTTTTAAGACCCGACTTTCACAATCGTAGGTAGCATGATGAACATGGTGCCAGGCAGAGCGTAAAGAGTTTTGCCTGGGGCACCCAGGGCAGTGGGCCCTCCCACTGACAGGTGGGCCCTCCTGCCCGGCAGCGGAGCTCTCACCAAGGCAGCGAGCACCTCCCTGCCAGGCCCTCCGCTCATCCCACCAGGGCCACACCAGAGCCGTGCGGGCTGGGCAGAGCCGGAAAAGTGAGCCGTGGGTGTGCGCCTGCCTGCTAAGCGAAAGAGCCCGGCCGACCCGAGCTTGGCTTTCTTCCCAAGTCCCTCCAGCCCTACCCCGAAGGGGCCACCAGGCATTCCACCTTATTTCTCATGTTTAATATAGGCCTTAATTTGGGGGGAGGGGCTTAATTTGCTTTTATGCCTATAAAACATGCTGGGACTTCCTATTGGGAGAAGCCATATTGTTGGAGAAGCACGGTATTCCCCAAATCACAAAAGACCACCAGTAAACTGTGCAGGATGAAAATAAATGGTGAAGTTTATGTTGTCAATTAACTATAATCTCAGCAGCATAATACAGAATTGCATTATCTATGATAACGGATAATGTAATAAAATGCAATGTAATGATAATGTAATAAAATTACGTATATATCTGTACTCTATACAATTGTTTAATGCAACATAATACAATAATAATATAATAATTCTGGGGAGGATCTATCGATGTGGTTGTCAAAAGTCAATATCAGCTTGGTGACAATCAAGTTGATTAGGAAATTAAAATCAATGTTAAACTATGAACACATCAAATACATGGGAAAAGAAGTCTGCATTGCAGATAGTAGAAAATAGATGTTTCTCTTTACTCAACCATTTTCTTCTCCTTTTAGTTTTTGTTGCCATTCATTAATTTGTTGTAAAGTTATTCCCATTATTTTCGTCCTGAGGAATGCAATTCCATTCATTCAGTTTAAGAAGAGATCAAATGTCATGTTAAGTGAAAGAAAGAATATTTTATAAATTAGCTCTATACCTGTGCTTTGCTATGAAACTATGTGATCGGGCTTTGTCCTTTCGGAGAAAAATAAGGGGAAAAAATTGTGCCTCTGCCTACCAACATCCATCA